CTGCTGTGCTTCCCAGGCAGAGGCACCGCTGCTGGTGGGGGAGGGGGCAGGGGCAGGTTGGCGCCAAGGCCCGGGGTGGGGTGCTGGGAGGAGGCGTGAGGCTCCTAGCAGGATCGCACTGTCCAGAAATGTCCTCTGCCCTGCCCCTCCCTGGCTCAGACCAAAATACTGGCCGCTCCCCTGGCTGCTGCTGGGAGTGAGTTGTGCCTCCTCTGGAAGCCGGCGCCTGGGGCAGCCAGCCGCAGGAGCTGGGGCAGCCCTCTGACCTGTCGCTGCCCTTCTAGTGGGTCCTTCTGGGGAGCTGTCCACCTGTCTTACGGGAGCCATTCCTGCCAGCCAGGTGAGTGCTGGGTGGGGCGGTGAGTCTGGCTGTGGGAGTTGCTGTGTCTGGAAAAGTGGCCCCGGGCACCGCCGTCTGTCCCACAGCCTCCCTGCGCCCCCAGTGTAGTCACCGCCCTACAGAGCGGCTGCAGTTCCTGGCCGGGGTGCCTCTGAGGACGGCCTGTGGCTGCTCTTCTCACTGGGGTTAGTGTGCCTGTCTGTCCCCTTTCCAGTAATGAGGAAACCGAGGTCTGGGGTGGGGGGGTCTGCCTGCTCTGCCTGCCTGGATCCTCCACAGTGCCCACTCTTTTTTTCTTTTTTAAAATCCTCACCCGAAGACATTTTCCCCAATGATTTCTAGAGAGAATGGAAGGGAGGGAGGAGGGGGAGAGAGAGAGAAGCATCGATGTGAGACCAACACATGGATTGGTTGCCTCCGGCACAGGCCCCTACTGAGCTGGGGAACCCACAACAGAGGTACGTGCCCTTGACTGGGAATCAAACCCGAGACCCTTTGGTCCCTGGGCTGACGGTCTAACCACTGAGCAACCGGCCAGGGCCACAGTGCCCACTCTTTCTGGAGGAAGGAGGGAAGGTCTGGCCTTTAACAGAAGCCTGAGGGGCTTTCCCTAGGCCACATGGCTAGTAAGGGTAGGCCAGTCTGTCTCTGAGTGGCCTCCCCCCCTCTGGCAGCTGTGGGTAGGCCCCAGCCAGCCTGTGACATGGGGCCTGGGGAATGCTGGGGTGGGGTGGGGGGGGCGGGGCCTGCATGAGCTCACCACAAGGTGCCCCCTGGGGCTTCCTACCCTGGCTGCCAGTGGGGGTGAGTCAGCCGCTGGTGGTTGGGGGTCCTCTGTGCCCAGGGGTCTGGTCAGGGAAGCCAGGCCCTCCCGCCCTCTAGGGCTGGGGGCAGCAGGCATTTTCCCTGGTTGCAATGGGGTCCCCTGACCCACCTCCTGCGAAGTGTCTTGGTTCCCAGGGTCAGTGGTTGCTTGGGCATCGGATCCCTCCCTTTGTCCCCTCTGGTGTCTGGCTGTCCTCCCAGTCAGGCCCAGTGGTGAGGGCTCTCTGACCCCCTGCCTCCCAGCACCAGGATGGGCGAGTTCAGCGAGAAGAAGACCACGTGCGGCACCGTCTGCCTCAAGTACCTGCTGTTCACCTTCAACTGCTGCTTCTGGGTGAGGCCCGGCACTGCCTCCCCGACCCTTCAGGGAGGTTATGGCACCTCGGGGCCTCCCTCTGCCCGTGCTTAGTTGGAGGGGCTGGTTGGGGCTGGTCCTCAAAAGGGGTCCTGGTCTTGGGCTCACGTGGGGACCGACCGGTGTGCCCGCAGCTGGCTGGTCTGGCCGTCATGGCCGTGGGCATCTGGACGCTGGCCCTGAAGAGTGACTACATCAGCCTGCTGGCCTCGAATACCTACCTGGCCACAGCCTACATCCTGGTGGTGGCTGGCGTTGTTGTCATGGTGACCGGTCTCCTGGGCTGCTGTGCCACCTTCAAGGAGCGGCGGAATCTGCTGCGCCCGGTCAGCAGGGCGCCGCTGGCACTGGGGGCGGGGGTCCCTGTGTGGGGCCTCCCCCCGCTGTCTGGGGGAGAAGGGACTGAGGGGAGTCGAGTGTGACACCGCAGGATCGCCTCTGCTGTGTTCGCCGGGGGTGTCCCTCCCACCTGCCCAGCCCCCCTGTGAGCCCCCAGTGGGGGACGACACCCGCTCTGAGGGGAGCCTTCACTCTGTGACCACTGGGAGCTGAGGGTGGCAACTCGTGGATGGGGTGTCTGTGCCCCTGCTCACTGCGCCCTTCCCTGCCCAGTACTTCATCCTGCTCCTCATCATCTTCCTGCTGGAGATTGTTGCCGGCATCCTGGCCTACGTCTACTACCAGCAGGTGAGGGGATGGACAGGCCACACAGGGATGCACACACACAGGGACACGCACACGCACACACAGACCCCCGAGCTCCAGAGCTGACCATTGTGCGTCAGGCCCTGGAGGTGAGGGCTGGGTCGCAGGGGGTAGGGTACACTGCAGGGGCTCGTGGGGGAAAGCAGGTGATCCTAGGATCTGGAGCTCCGTCCCTGCCCCACCCCCTCCCCAGGCTCCCCTGGGGGATTCTCCCAGCCCACCTGACCCCCTCCTCAGCCAGCACCTGAGCCTGCCCCCGCCAGTCCTCCACATACCTCTCCGCGTCTGCCCCCCTCGGAGGGTCTTAGTCAGTGGCTGAGGTTATCACCACCTTGCCCCCAGCTGAACGCGGAGCTCAAGGAGAACCTGAAGGACACCATGACCAAGCGGTACCACCAGCCAGGCCACGAGGGCGTGACCAGTGCCGTGGACAAGCTGCAGCAGGAGGTTGGTGGGTGGGTCGGGGGGCCTCTCTGGAACCTTGAGGGAGCCCGCGGGGTGGGTGGGGCGGGCGCTCAGCCCTGCCGCCTTCTCCATGCAGTTCCACTGCTGTGGCAGCAACAACTCCCAGGACTGGCAGGACAGCGAGTGGATCCGCTCTGGGGAGGCCGGTGGCCGCCTGGTCCCCGACAGCTGCTGCAAGACGGTGGTGACCCACTGTGGTCAGCGGGTCCACGCCTCCAACATCTACAAGGTGGAGGTAGGTGGGTGGGGCCTGGGCACCAGGTGAGGGGTGCTGGGTGTGGGGGACCTGCCCATCTTCAGTGCCCCCCCCTCCTACCCCCTCAGGGCGGCTGCATCACCAAGCTGGAGACCTTCATCCAGGAGCATCTGAGGATCATCGGGGCCGTGGGCCTTGGCATCGCCTGTGTGCAGGTGCGGGCCTGGGCAGGGAGGGCCCAAGCGGGTGCGGGGACACTGGGTGGCGGGCGGGGCCCACTCATGCCGGCTCCACACCACAGGTGTTCGGCATGATCTTCACCTGCTGCCTGTACAAGAGCCTGAAGCTGGAGCACTACTGACCCGCCCACGGCCGCCCGCTGGGCACTGTGCACAGCTCCCCGGAGTGACTACTGAGCGGATACTACTGACGGCCAGGGAGCTGGGGTCCCCGGGTGCCTCTCCCTCCCCGCTGCCCCTTTGCCAGGGAGTTTGTGTTCTCATGCCCGTGCCCCCACCAACGTGCCATCACCGTGACCTCTGGGGACCCCCATCCCCAGAGCGAGCTTCAAGTGCCTTTTGCTGCATGCCAATCCTGAGGCAGGGACCCCCCCTGCAGTTGAGGGGACCCAGCATTTCTGCTTATGTGGGGGCCTGGGTTCTGTCATAAAGTCTCCCCCCTGCAGGCCACTTCCCTTGGAGGGGAGGTTATGGCACCTCACGGGACTCCCTGGTGCCTGTGCTTAGTTGGAGGGGCTGGGTTGGCCCACCCTATGGTGCTCCCAGACCCTTGGACACACCCCACATAGTGGTGGGGGCAGGCCTGGGAGGGGTGACGCTGGGGTAGGTGCAGGGGGGTGTGGATTGGCGGCAGGTGAGGAGCTCCGTGTGCTTGCCACCAGGTCGCAGTGCCACCTCCAGGTCCTGTGCTTCTGCTGACCTCCGGTCCCAGCCACCCTCTGCTGAGCCCCCCGCTGTCTTCCTGCTGCTCTCCCCATCACCAAAAAGGCCGCGACGTTCACTGCTGTCTCCCTCCCCCGGGGCAGGGGCTGGGGGTATGTACTCACTGCTGTATGACTAGACCTGCCCTGCACACAGCAGGTGCTCAATAAACGTGTGGATACACAGGTGCTTACGGTACTGATGGTTCTGGTCCTGAGCCCTCACGTCCAGCAGGGAGGACGGATCCGCCACCCATGGCCACAAAGAGGGCAGATCTGGGGCCCAGGGCAGCCGGTGCGAGCTGAGTCTGACCGGACTCGAGGGGACCAATGGCAGGGACAGCTGAGCACAGGCCCAGTAGAACCTCACACCTCTGGGAAGATGGTGGTGCAGCTGTGACCCGGGCTGGAGAGCTGTGAGGCCTGGGGTCTGGCAGGATGTGCACCCCTCTGCCCAATGGCCGTCCCCAAGGCTTGGGCTGTCCGCCCCTGGGCAGACCTTCTCAGATGCCTGGGCAACGGGGCTGGAGAAGGCTGCCTCCCTGGCTCTGAAGCTGGCTTCTGCGTTCTGCTGGCCAGGGCATCAGGGCCCATCTGCCCCTCCCCGGGGAACGGCTCTTCTGGCTGGCACCCGGGAGTCCAGGCTAATGCCCAGGGCTCGGGCAGCCCCGACAGCCAGCAGAGCCTCATCAGGGCCACCTGTGACCTGCTGGGGTGGGGGGGGTCTCAGGCCTGGTTGAGGCGACCAGGTGCTGACCTCCCTCTGCAGGAACTTGGGCAGGGGGCGGGGAGGGGGGCTACTGAGCTTGGGTGCAGCCTGGGAGCTTTTGGCAGCAGGACCTCAGGATGTGACCGCAGCAGGCACTCTGTTCCCGATCCTTTAAATCCTGGGAGAGAGGATGCAGGGAGCTCTGCCCTCAACCTGACCAGCACCCAGAACATAGGGGTGGGGTGCCAGTGTCCGCGCCTTTGTGGGGCTGTGAGAGCACCCCCTTCCTGAGAGAGACACCCCAGGCCAAGTGGCTGCCATGGGGATGGCTCTCCCCCCTCCCAGGCAGTGAGGGCCCACATTCACCCCCACGAGGCCTCGGCACAGAGGCAGAACACAGGTACGCGGGTGGCGGTGGGTCCCACAAAGCCAGACACAGTGAGGACCTCCACGTGGTTCTGCAAAGACCTTTATTGGGCGGTTCCTTCCGGAGCAGGAGACAAACATCTGCACGGCTGCGGGCAGCACTGCTTCCGGCTGCCCACGCCTCAGCGGAAGGGTCTCAGGCCAGACATGCCGGGGTCCCCACCGCGGGTGGCGCGGTCACTTCTCCAGGGGCGCGTAGTTGAGCAGCTTCTCGATGAGGTCCACGTGGGCCAGCAGCATGCGGCGGCAGCAGTAACGCTTCAGGCCCAGCGCGTCCAGGGCGTCCCTGTGGGCAGGAGAGGACGGTCTCTCTAGAGAGCCACCGCGGCCATGTCCCAAGCCAGTAAGAGCCCCCAATGTCCCTGGGACCCAGACCATTCACCCTCGAGGCCTCCAGAAAACTCTCACTCCGTTGGCCTCAATGTGCGGGGATGGGAAACGGGAGCCCAGGCTGGAGGTCCTCGCCGGTGCTCAGCTCGCAGGGAGGGGTCCTGGGCACCCCAGCATCCTCCTCGGGGTCTAGTGCAAACACCTCCCATCCATGGCTCCCCCGTTCTCCTCACACCGCACTGAGAGCCTGCGCGGGCTGGCACACCCCAGGCCCCCAGATGTGACCAGGACCTGGCGTCCGCACAGTGGCCAACGGCGAGGTGAGTGGGGAACAGGGGCGGGCGGACGGGCACGGGTAACTGTGCTGCGGGGCCTCGCGATGGCAGCTCCGTCTCAGGAAGCTGTCCTACTCCCAGAAGACAAGGGGGCTTGCGGGGCCTGGGGGGCCCACAGCGGAGAGGTCAGGGAGCAGGTGGACAGGGAGGAGGCGCGCCCTGACTGGTCAGAGGGCACCTAGAAGCCCCCACCGCCAGTGGCTTGATGCCCGACTCCCTCCGTCCCCCAAACTGCAGCGGGAGGGGGAATGACGCTTTCCCGAGAGCGGGGCTGGGCTCTGGGGCTGACAGTCCACGCAGGTCACCTGGGGTCGGTGTGCGCCGCCTGCCCGGCAGCCCTAGGCCACTGCCCCACCTCCTCGGCCCCG